TCCCATATGATTTCAGTTATGTGTGGAATCTAATGAACAAAAGAAACTAACAAAAAAAAATAGAAGCAGACTCATAGATAGAGAACAGACGGACGGCTGTGAGAGGGTAGGGGATGGGGCCGCTGCATAAAAAAGGTGAAGGGATTAAGCAAAAAAAAAAAAAAATCATGGGCACAGACGACAGTATAGTGAATACCAGAGGGACAAAGGGGTTGGCAGAGGTAGAAGAGGGTAAAGGGGAGATAAATGGTGATGGAAGGAGACTTGGCTTGGAGTGGTGAACACACAATACAATACACAGATGGTGTATTACAGAATTGTATCCCTGAAACCTATGTAATTTTATTAACCAATGTCACTCTGGTAAATTCAATTTAAAAAAAAAAAAAGAACAAATAGGATTGGAGGCTGGGGAAGCATTTCTGGAAGAAGCACAGCCTAGTGGAGGGAATGGGACATGACAGATGAGCCCAAAAAAAAAAAAGGCCAGAGAGCGGAGCACAGCAAGAGGAACGGTGGCACCAGATGGAGCTGGACCACATCACCTAGGGTCCGGCCCCATTAATGATTGGGGGGTTTCCCCTAGATAAATAGAAAGCCATCAGAGGACTCTAAACTGTAGTTGGTGATCAACTCTGCATTCTGAAAAAATTGCTCTGGCTGAAAAGAGAGGAAACAGGAAGACCAAGTGGAAGGCCTGCTGTTCTTGAGTTAGTGCGGACACGCTCTGATGGGAGCTCGGCCCTTGACTGGGGCAGTGGACATGAAGAAAAGTAGATGGGTCCAAGGAATACAGCGGAGGTCAAAATTTGGTGATGGATTGGATGTAAGTGCTAAGGAAAGGAGGCAGTGTTTGGGACGATCCAGGTTTCTAATTAGATGGGGTGCCACTGACAAATAAATGCTAGAAAAGTCAAGGATGAGTTCTGTCTAAGGCAACACATCTGAGTGAAGCTGTCAAGTGGGCAATTGGATACAAAAGCCTGGGACTGGAGGAAAAGTCTGGGTTGGAAACCTAAGTTTGGAAGTCACTGAGTACAGTAAGTAAAGCTATGGACATAGGCAAAATGGCCCATGAGAGGAGCACAGCACCTAAATCACATCTACTCACAATCCCTAAAGAATGCGAACATTTCATTGCTGAGTAGAGAAATAAGAGAGAGAAAGGAAAAACGGAAGCCTGAGAGCAGGTGGAGATCCAGCTGAGAGCAGGTGGAGGACCAGCCAAGGGTGGCATCCCAGGAGCCAGGGAAAGAGGGTTCTGAATAGGATAGAGTGGTCAGCAGTGCCAAACACTGCTGAGATGCCCGGTAAGAGGAGGCCTGGAAAGTGCCCGCTGGACTTAGCAATGTGGCAGTCTTGGTGCTGTGAATTTGAATTGTTTCCATGGAATAATGGGGGCAGAAATCAAACAGAGATGGTTGAGGAGTGAATGGGAAATGAGGAAATGGAAACACTGTACGGACCACTCTCAAGAAGTATGGTTTTGATAGAAAACAGCCCAAACCTGCCCCTCCTCAGTCTCTACTCATGAGCCTTCTTTGCCACTCAATAAGCTGAACTGATTTTGTAATTTGGATTCAGTGTTCCATAGCTGTGGTCTCTTGGTAGCCATGGCAACCAGCCGGCCAGGGGCAGAATGTACAGGGGGGACCATATGGAAATTGGAGGCTCCTCCACCCCTTTGAGCAGCCTCCAGCTCTTCAGGCCTGGGAAGGCCCACTGTAGAATCACTGCTGCAAATGGGGTTATGAAACAAAAAGCCCTTATGTTTTAGAGACACCTACTGAAAAGTATAAAGGTAAGTGGAGTCTGGGGTTTGCAAAGTGAAACAAGATAAGCCATGAGTTGATTATTGGTTTTTTTTTTAACTCTATTTCATTGATTATGCTATTACCGTTGTCCATTTCTCCCCCTTTATTCCCCTCCGCCCTACATACCCCCTCCCACCCACATTCCCCCTCTTTAGTTCATGTCCATGGGTCATACATATAGGTTCTTTGGCTTCTGCATTTCCTATAATATTCTTAATCTCCCCCTATTTTTTTGCTGCCATTTATGCTACTTATTCTTTGTACCTCCCCCCCCTTCCCCCCCACTGATAACCTTCCATATGATCTCCATTTCTGAGATTCTGTTCCTGTTCTAGTAGTATGCTTAGTTTTAGTTTTTGTTGCTTTTTAGGTTCAGTTAATAGCTGTGAGTTTGTCCTCATTTTACTGTTCATGTTTTTTATCTTTTTCTTACATAAGTCCCTTGAACATTTCATACAATAAGGGCTGGGTGATGATGAACTCCTTTAACTTGACCTTCTCTGGGAAGCACTTTATCTGCCCTTCAATTCCAAATGAGAACTTTGCTGGACAGAGTAATCTTGGACGTAGGTCCTTGCCTTTCATAACTTCAAATACTTCTTTCCAGCTCCTACTTGCCTACAAGGTTTCTTTTGAGAAATCAGCTGATAATCTCATTGGAACTCCTTTGTTGTAACTATCTCCTTTTCTCTTGCTGCTTTTAAGATTCTCTCCTTATCTTTAATCTTGGCTCACGTAATTATGGTGTGCCTTGGTGTGTTCCTCCTTGGGTTCAACTTCTTTGGGACTCTCTGAGCTTCCTGGATTTCCTGAAAGTCTATTTCCTTTGTCAGATTGGGGAAGTTTTCCTTCATTATGTTTTCAAATAAGTTTTCAATTTCTTACTCTTCCTCTTCTCCTCTGGTACCCCTATGATTCAGATGTTGGATCTTTTAAAGTTGTCCTGGAGGTTCCTCAGCCTCTCCTTTTTTTGAATTCTTGGTTCTTCATTCTGTTCTGGGTGAATGTTTCTTTCTTCCTTCTGCTCCAAATTGTTGATTTGATTCCCGGTTTCCTTCCCTTCACTGTTGGTTCCCTGTACGTTTTCTTTTATTTCACTTTTCATAGCATTCACTTTTTCCTCAATTTCGTCACCATACTAACCAATTCTGTGAGCTTCCTGATCACCTGTGCTTTGAACTGTACACCTGATAGGTTGGCTATCTCTTTGTTGCTTGTTGAATTTGTTCTGGAGCTTTGATCTGTTCTTTCATTTGGGCCATTTTTTTCTTGTCTCAGCACCCCAATTTCATAGTAAGGGGCAGAGCCTTAGGTATTTACTAGGGTGGGACAGCCCACATCACTGCATTGTGATGCTGTTGGTAAGGGAGTGGTCCAAGAGCCCATCTGTCAGCCAGCTTTTAGTCACTTCCTCTGCTTTCCACAATCAAATTGGGCCCTTCTGGTGCTGATTCCTGGGTGGTGGGTTTTTGTACATTTTAGGACCCTGTGGGTTTTGCCAACAAACTCTCCTGTGAGGCTGGGAGTTTCTTCAGCTGCCACTTCAACTCTCACAGGTTTTTCCGGTCAGAGGTTTTGAAGCTTTATTTCACCACACTGGAACCCTAGGTTGTCTCTCCCCAGTTGTTCCTCCCAGTTTATCTTCATGCAAATGTGGGACTGCCCACCCTAGTCTTCCAGCTGCTGCCTTGCCACAAGTCCTCTCCACCCCAGTTGCCCATCTCCACCCCTCCTACTGATGTGGATGAATGTTTCTTCTTTAACTCCTTTGTTGTCAGACTTCCATACAGTTCAATTTGCTGTCAGTTCTGGTTGTTTTCTGTTTTTAAATTTGCTGTTTTTCTTTTGGTTGTGTGAGGAGACACTGTGTATCTACCTACGCCTCCATCTTGGCCGGAAGTCCCGAGTTGATTATTGTTGATGATGGGCAGTGGGTACCTGAAAGTTTATTATATTGTTTCCAATAATTTATGTATACCTTTTTTTCATAACATGTTGTAAAAAATTTAATTTAGGAATGCTGTAAAGTGAAAGGGTGATGAACCAGTGATTCCCCAGGGCCCACCATGTACATGGCCCTTCCCAGAGGACCACCTTCACTCAGCCTTTGACTCAGGGGCTTCAAGGTGTCACAGTCTAAGGGAAGAAAGTCCACTCTCACGTGCTGTTCTTTTTTTCCTCTCATTTACCCTAACTCCTGTTTCTTGCCCCTCCTCCTTGCTTATCTGCCTTGTGAGTTTAGACTCCCAAGCAGAGATCTGTCACCACCTTCCTGAACTTGGACAGTTCCCTCTGGCCCATGAACCCATCTCTGAAAGATCACGTTCTGCATCCACTTGGCAATGCTGTAAGGGTTAATTCCAACAGTGTGTGCGGAGGTATCTAAACATGGCTTTCAACCTCAAAGGCCCACAGAACTCAGGGGGGCAATTGAAATTAATGAAGCGGACCCAGTAGGAGAAAATTGTGTAAAACCTCTTGGCCTATATTTAGCTTTGCCACTTTTAGGGAACATACAAGTAGAAAAAGTATAAGAAAAATGCATTGTATAGGAAAAATAGCAATGCACCATGATCACAAATGGAATAAATAATTCATATTTATTAATAATGGGTCATAAACTGAGTCTTAGCCTCCACGTTGGAGAATATTAGGGAGTGGTGGGGATTAGGGCAAGCCAGAGCAGGCAGGGACAGTCCTCTCACAGCTTCCTCAAAGGAATGGAGGCAATGTTAACACGTCCTCTTATTCGACAAGACAAGCTAGAACTCTTACTTTTTTTATGTGAAACCTCCCAATTCTTAAATTTATGTTCAACTATATTTCTGAAGGAACAATATGAAGTCCAAACTAAGCCCATCCGTGGGCCACAATCGACTGCTGAGCTGGCGATGTGCACCGTCTCACCCGGATAATGGGACCTAAGTTTCCCCTCACCTAACCACTCCCACCCTTCGTTTCTAGGGTGAAGGGTTCAGAGTGGGTTGAAGAGATGACGAAGCACCAAGGGATGTGATCCAGACACCTCAGCCTGTCCTAGGGCCTAGATCAGTGCCTGGCACTCAGTGGATTCTAATGAAAAATTTGATGAATCAACAGCCAGTACCTGGGAGTGGGGGGGTGGGATAATTGTTTCTTGTGTACACCCTGGGCTTACCTGAGAAATGGTCTCATTTTTTTTAATAGCCTTGCGAAGTCGTTCTGGCCGCTCCATCATCAACGGGAACTGGGCAATTGACCGGCCCGGAAAATACGAGGGCGGAGGGACCATGTTCACCTACAAGCGTCCAAATGAGATTTCAAGCACAGCCGGAGAGTCCTTTCTGGCCGAAGGTCCCACTAATGAGATCTTGGATGTCTACGTGAGTTTTGATGTTTCTGGGCCGCTCTCTGGATTTTGTGTCTTGTTACTCTTGAGAGCCACACTTAAAACAAATAAGCAACAAACCTCGGTTTGACGCATTTGCTCAGTAAGACACGTCATGCTCAGTAAGACAGTCTGAGCAGAGTCATTGGACGTGCCCTTAAAGCTCAGGCTCATCTCCACCACTCAGCCTGACTGCGCCAGGCTCACAGAAACCTTAAACTCTACCAGATGCTTAGAACCCTCCGAGTTTATTGACCCAGTAAAACCAATTTTACTTGTTGAACCAAATCAGAGTCAAAACGTATCCTTTATTTCATGAGCGTTGGATCTCCTCCAGGCACTTTCCTCCTCATGCTAATTTGGCAGGTTTTCTTTTCATGGCAAAAGAAAGCAAATGCCTAAAGCAAGGCAAGACGCCCACAGTTCCCAGCCCTCTTCAAACTCTCTTGAAGCAAATGAAGTCAGGGGGCCCACAGAGAACCCCAGATGGCCCAGTAGAGCTTCCAGGGACGGTACAGAGGGTCACTGGGCAGCCCCTGCCTCACGGAAGACAGGACTTCCACTTATTTAACAGGAAAGTAAATTATTAGGTTACGTGGAGTTCAAAACTGCCCTTATTTTTAAAAGAAACCACTAGAATCCGGTCTTCTTAAAAACATCAGGAAATAAGAGGTGACATGAAATAAAAGCTTGAAATTGGGTTTTTCTGATAAAAAAAAGAATGAGCTGACTCATAGATACACATTCTCTTACCACCTCCAAAGCCAGCACACGATGTGTGCTGTGTCATGGGGTGTTTATAAATATTACTTCTTCGGCTACCCAGCTACAGATTTGTTCCTCGTGGGCCTAGTGGCTCATGGACTAGAAACCATAAAGAAAGCCTTATTATAGTTCATTTGAAATATTATTTTTACACTGTTCAGTGGGCTGTTGGACTCTGGGTAGGTTTCGAACGGCACCAGCGATAAAAAACCCAAATTGTTAAAGACCCGCTGTGGGTGGGCTAGGATGTGGCGGCCAACAATAATTTTATAAACGGGACAGGGTTTGTACTGGCAGAACGCTCACACAGAAAGAGGGAGAGAGGGTTTCCAACCTCAGACCGACTGTCGAATTCTGTGAAAGGGGAAGAGAGGGGATGAGGGGTAGACGGTAGGCACTTAGTTCACACCACCGTCTGTTTTGGGGTTCCGGGCTCAGCACCATGGTTGCTGAGTGTAAGAAGCTCAGTGGTTCTCATGTCTGCCTTCCTGCCGTCAGGTGACTTATGGAACGTGGGCCCCGTTGTGCAGGCAGGGATGACGGCATGAATGGACTGAACACACACACTGGGCAACCAAACAGGGCCCGCCTATACAGGAGGCACGCGGAGATGTTTGTAGCTAAAAGGATTTAAGAGATCCGCTGTGATTCTAACTTCCTTCTTCTCCAGATGAGGAAAAAAAAAAAGCTGTGATTAAGAGACTTGTTCTAAGTCACACAGCTGGTCAACAGGAGAGCCCCTTTGTGAAGCAGTGGACACAGCAGCGTCAGAATGCAGCAGCGCCTCCTTGCGTGGCTCACACCCACTCTGTCTATTGCCGTCTGCTGCTGCTGCACTGGGCCCATCACCACGCTGCCCACCAGGGGAACCGCAGGCCTCTGAGCTCCAGAACCAGTCTGCTGGGCCATGATGACTGGTTAGGGCTTTTGCCCCAGACAAGTTTCATTGCTGACTTCACAGCCCTGTGCAACTTCCTGCTTTCGTCATTGGTCCCTGAAAGAGTGAGACCCAGGGAGAGCTTCTTCCCAGATTGCCTGGTTTCCTGACCCCAGGTCATTGTGGTTCTGGAGCTTTCCGTGGATGAGAGGAGTGTGACCCAGAGTCAGTGAGTTAGAGGGTTGGAGCAGAGCTTTCCTGAGCCAGCCTTGCCAGCCAGGTAAAAACTTCAAAAGAACCTGAAGGCTCCCAGCTGGCTCTGCCAGAGCCGAGCCCTCCTTTACACAACTCTATCTCACCACCTAGTGTTCCAGTGGGTTCTCTGAAGTATAAACGTATCTACTGGGACATTTTGGGAGCACCACACAAAATTTAAGCCATGGTACGGGATGGTCTGGAGCCAACAGAAATGTTCCGCTCCCCCTGCTCCCATCGTCCTAATGGGAATGTTTGAAACTTGACTTTCAGCCTGGTTTCCGTTTCAGTTGTTCATTCTTCAAAACCAAATGACGAAAAGCCATCTGGAAATAGCTTTCATTTAATCTGTCACAGGCCCACTAATATTACTCACCCGTGGATTTACAGATAATGCCACTTATACCACTGACCCCAAGCCAGGGGGAAAGGGATGTGTGTGTGTGTGTGTGTGTGTGTGTGTGTGCCAATGCAGTGACGTTGACTTCTGTGTTGTCAGATGATACACCAGCAGCCGAACCCAGGAGTCCACTATGAGTATGTTATCATGGGGACCAATGCCATCAGCCCCCAGGTGCCACCTCACAGGCGACCAGGTAAAGTCCCTTGTTTTGCTGCCAAGCCCTCGGCTCATTTCCTTTTAAAGGCCCCTCTGCCTCCTTCTTGTGCAGACACCCTCTGTCTCCAAACCAATGCAGAGAAAAACCAGGGGCACAAACTTCATAGTCGGGGCTCAAAGGGAGCTCCACCACTGGCCTGAGCCTTCACTGATAAGTGTTTCATTCACTTGATGCAAAAATGAATTGAATGTCCTGGGTCTTTCTTTCCAGTTCCTCATATGGAAATGCCCTGTATTAGTTTCCTGTTGCTGCCATAACAAATCTCCCCGAGCTTAGTGGCTCAACACAAGGCAGATTCACTGTTTTACACTGTGGCTCCCTGGGCCACGCCCCCGTCAGAGGCTGCAGGGGAGAATCATTCCCTCGCCTTTTTGCAGAGGCCCCTTGTACTCCCTGGTGCACGGTCCCTTCCTCCATCCCCGGGGCCAGCGGGGTGGCACCCTTGCATCCCTCACTGACCCTCACCTCTGCCTCTGTCACCACACTTTCTCCTCTGACTCTCGCACTCCCACCTCTTTGTCATAAGGACCCTGACTTGGGCCACCCAGACAATCCAGAATAATCTCTCCATCTCAAAACCCTCAACTTCGTCACATCTGCAAAGTCCTCCTTGCCACATAAGGTGACCTATTTCTGGTTTCAAGGACTGGGACACAGACTTCTTCTGAGGGCCACCAGTCTGTCTGCCAGTACCTTTCCTCTTAGTCCCCTCTTGCTTCTGTGAACATGACTTTGACCTATCAGAAAGGAATACTGAGTTCCACCCAGTGGTTCACCTCTTCCCAGGGGGCTCTGCTGACGGACAGAGTGGGCAGCTTTCATTGGGCTGCCGCTGGGAATGGCTCAGCGCTCAGGATTTCCAGATATTTCTTTACTGAGCGATGGTGGAACCTACCCAAATGGAGACCATCTTTTCTATCTTTCCAACAAGAAGGTCTGCAGAACTATTAATGGTGACGATGGCTTGCATGTGCTGAGCCCTAGCTGTGTGTTGGACACTGCCAAACCCCGCCCTTAGGTTAGCTCACGGAATTTTCACCGGGGTGCTCAGACAGGTACTATTGTCAGCCTTGTTTTTAAAGTAAGGAAGTGGAAGTAATCAGAGGAATTAGGCTCTTGCCCCAGTCCCACAGTGACCTCGGGCCGGCCTGCGTGACTAGCCCTGTGCTTGTTAATACTGCCCAGAGGCTGCCTGGCCCAATACCTATCCTAGGAAGTGAGGAGACAGGTGCCAGACCTGGCCTATCCATCCTTCTCTGGGCTGCCGATCAGATAACCACAGTATCTGATTGTCACGGATCAGGGAAGAACCACCTGGCTGCCTGAAGACGCCAGCCTGGTGTGTGTCCCACAGGTGGGGTGCATGTGTTGTTCAAACCCCGAGCCCAACAGAATTTTTAAGCCATTTCCAGGAGCAATGACAGTCTGAGAACCAAGTCCAGATGGCAAACTATTGAGATGCTAAGGTTGATGCCGATTTATGCGGGCAATTGGACAGACTATTTGAAATGATATAGGATGGTGATGACTGATAACAAACCTAATGGGTTTCACCTAACAGGTAGCATGGGGGTCTGGGATCAGCTGCCTGGGACAGGGCAGGCCCAGAGGGGTCAGCTGGTGAGGAGGGGTGCTCTGGACCAGGCGTCATCCTCCGGGTCACCCGGCTCAGGAGGACAGAGCCTGCATCCAGCTCTGCCACTCTCTTGCTGTGCTTCCTCGGGCGAGTCAGAAACTTCTCTGAACACATCCTGAGTCCACAAAACAGAAAAAGAAACTGAACTCAAAGATATTGTTTAGTTCCGTTTTGTTTAAGAGGGGCAGAAGGGAAGAGAGTGAATCACTAGGTGCCAATCCCACACCCAGGACACACAAAGTGCTCACCAGATTGTTGAATGTCTTTGGCCGATGGCCTCTCGGGTGGCCGCATAGCAGCAGGCCTGGTCTTGGCTCTGTTGGTTTAATTTGCATGTAATATTTTAAGCCACAAATTATTGTAAATAGCCAACTAAATAAGAAAGTGCCAGTGGAGGGGCAGAGAAAGCCCTATATTTTAACTGGATTCAACAGTGACTCCAAAATTTGCGTCCTTATTTTGTATGAAAGTAATATGTGCTTGGATAGATATGGCCCAATTTCTCTCCAAAATGTGTGTCTGATGTACAGACTCGCTCACAGTGTATGAGAATGGGTTTCTCTGGCACCTTCAGCAAGGAGCTTAGTGAGTTAGGGGTTTCAAAGTGTCCAGTCTCCATGGTTGGGCAAGTAGAGTCGCTGTTGCCCTTCTTCGGTTACGAGTGAAGCTGCGCACTTTCCTACGATTCTGTTGCTTGTGTTCCTTTCTGTGTGAATTGCCTCTCCCTGGCCCTTGCCTACTTTTCCTACTGGGATGTTCATATTTGTTTTTAATAGTTTATTATATATTGGGGAATTAGTGTCTACATGTTTTAAATATATGTGCTCTGAATTAGAAGGCTCTCCTGCTACCTGATTTTTAATGTTAAAGCGGTTTCCTCTTCATGACTCACCGTGCAAAATGCACTGACCTGTGTGTGCACACCGCCTCCCCCAGGGGAGCCCTTCCAGGGCCAGCGGCTGGCAGAGGGGCGGAGCCCGGAGCCGCGGGGAGAAGGGAAGGAGAGGACCGAGGGGAAGGAAGACTCGCGCGGTGGGGCCCCTGAAATACTCACCTCGGAATCAGCGCAGACCTTCGCGGGGCGGCAGCCAGACAGATTTTCTGCCCACCGGCCAGACAGCGCGGTGCCACCAGCACCACAGCCCCCACGACGAAGCCGGGATCACAACTGGAAGCAGCTCGGCACCACGGAGTGCTCCACGACCTGTGGGAAAGGTGAGCTCACGCGTGGGCGGGCCGGGTCTCCGCAGACCCCCAGGAGGTGTGTGCAGGCGGCCCCAGGGGCTCGGTCACCCCTCCCCTCCGTGAACCTGGCCCCGAGAGGGCTCATTAGTGGGAGGTTGTGTTGGGGGGTCCCCCACACCACCCTTGGGCTTGCCAGTCACTAGAAGGACTTAAAAGACGTGAAAGGTGCTATGCTCATGGTTACTGTTCGCTGCAGCGAGAAGATACAGACTGCGGCCCGCCGAGGGAGGCAGGCCAGGGCGGTGTGCACTGAGGCCGAAACCATTCCCGCGACGCCTCTGCAGGCGCGATGGCCCGGCCCAGTGCGGGGACCACCGGACAGTGGAGCCGAGGTCCCAAGGGGCTGTTGCGGAGTTTTCTGCCGTTGAGGCTGTGCTGCCAGGCCCGTTAAAGGGACTACAAACCCTGAGGACCGGGTGGAAACTGGGGAAGCTACAAAAGCATAAAATGGTTGTCGTGTGGTCTTATGTCAGGGTGGCACGTGTAGAAGACTGTTTCGTCCGAGTCTGTGAAGACGGCCCGGCCTGGGCCTCCCTCCTGTCCGCAGCCCGCCAGGCGGGGCGCTGGGGACAGGGTGGGGAGAGGACGGGAGCAGGTGCTGTTTGTCCGCGCACCCTTCACGTCACCGCTCCAGTCTTCACGGCCTGGTCCCTGCTGCAACAAAAATCCGCCCCCCACATTGTCCCAGGGCACGCGGCTGGCGCGCTCCTGCCCCCGCTCCACCATCTGGCTCAGGCGCCACCTCCTCCGTGAAGCCCTTCCTTGTGCTGCAAGGCCGAGGTGGGCGCTTCTTCCCAGGGACCTCGGCAGTTCGGGACAGGGTCCCTTTTGAACTGCGGCTCTGCCTGGCCTGCTGTCTTAATGATGCACACTTGCGACCTCGGCACCTGGCATCTTGCCACGCACAGTAGGGGCTCTTCAAGTGCTTCTTGAATGAATGGCTGTATCATCACTACATTTCAAATGTGATACGTGTCAGCTCTGAGAGGAGATACAAGGGCAGTGTTCACATCTTCATCACATCCGGGAGGTACAAGTCTGTTGTTGCCTCCGCCCCCGTCCTATCAGCAGCATAAAGAATGTGGACTTACGTATTCAAAACTGAAGAAACGTTCCCTCAAGATTTTCATATTCACTAATGTTCTAAGACAGCATTTCTCCTTTGCATTGTGGATACACACACATACACACTAGCTTCACAGCTGCCACTTGAAGCCTAAAATGAGATGTCCATCCTCCTCCTCATCCTGACAAACGGCACTGGTTCTCAGGCCAAAGGGGCACTGAAGAAGCACCTTAGAAATAAAACAGAACCAGAGATGTGCTGGAGACTAAGAAAGTGGAGTCCTGGAAGTCGAGCCGACTGGGCTCTCAGCCTCCTAAATAAAAAGGTAGATAGGACAGGTCTTGTCTACAAAATAAATTCAAGACCTGCTGACTACCAACATCAAAAGAGAAAGAGAGAGATGTGTTATTCCCCTAACCCTCCATTCGCTCCTACTCCCCGCCGGTCTCTCTCCTGTGTGACAGATGGCAGTAGCCCGTGGACGCACCTCTTTGCTCCCAAGCACCAAAAGTCGGAGTGCAGGGCAGGTGAGGCAGTGTGGATACCAAACATTTAGCCCATCTCGCGGTCATCAGCAGTGGTGACAGGTGTGCCGGGACAAGAAATTCTGAGTCTGCCCTTGCTGTCCGGCTCTTTTCTGCCCAACCCAAGTCCATTGCCCTGTGACCTTGTCATGGTGCCCATACTGACCCTCTTGCAAACTCCTCTCTGGTCTTTCCTGGTGGAACTAACCAGACCACACATTTCTCTGCCTGTCACACTGAAACGTCCCTTTCTGTCAATGCTTCCGGCATTGTGACTTCATCACCACAGAAGGGCCCTGTCACGGGCATGCTGGTGTGACCTATACTCTTTACAGCCGTTGCTGAGACCTCTGTCTGTCTGGTTAAACTCAGCTGGGTTGGTTGATTCCTGGAGTTCCAGGACTGAAATTATTCCTTTTCTTCCCATTTCATCCATCACTCCATGATGCCTTACTGACCTCTGCCTGTGGTCCAGCTCCGTGCTCCAACACAGCGAGCTTCTGTGTGGACCCATAGACCCGACGAGTCACCCACCAGACCGATCCCAGACTCTTCCTACTGCCTGGAGCCCAGCCAGCACCTGCCCTCACCACCCTATTCCCACTTGCTGGCAATTACAGAAATATTAAACGGCATGCTTGAACAATGAAGAAATGGCCAGGTGTCTCTCTTTCTGCAGTAATCGAAACTGACCCAGAGAAAGAAACCATTGTGGTCACTGGAGTCAGAAACTATAGAGCTGGTATTTTCTCACCATGAGAGAAAGAAAGAGAGCCTCCGACCTCCCCTCCTTGGCCAAACGCTGGAGCCGGCGCCAGACCGGTGCACTGCGGGGCAACGGGAGGGGCTGGGGGGAAGGGGGTTTGCCGGCCGAGGCCTTGCAAGGGCCTCAAGTAGGGCCCATCTTTGCAAGACACGGAGCATTCCTATGTTAACCTGCGTTTTTCTGGCTAAATAGACCAAATTTTCCTCCCACTCGAATGCCAAGTGGTTGGGGTAGTCACTGTTGCTTTCCAACCCACAAACTCGTAAGTAGAGAAGTGAAACCCATGTGGTCTGAAGAGAAAGGGACAGGCTTTAAAAACCAAGATTTTTACTTAATCCCTTAATAGCTGGGCCCCAAACGGGCCCCCTGCAAGCCACAAACTGAATCTTATTCACCTTTTAACTCAGAACAATGTGCTTAATGTTGGTTGAATTTAATTAAAGAGCTCTTCTTAAATGGAAGCAGATATGTCTCTGGACAAAACTTAATTCCACCAAAGTTTTGCTTCCTATTAATTTTACAGTCAGTACTACTTATTACTCAGCTAATAACTATGCTTAATTGGAACGTTATTTTAAATAAAGATCTCAAGTTACAGCTACATTGTAAATTTTTACAGCCAGAGTACTTTATTTTTTTAATTTTATTTTTTATTGTATTTTTTCCATCCCCATTTATCCCCTTGTACCGCTGCCCCCACAATCACCGCACTGTTGTCCGTGTCCACAGGTCCCTTCTCCCCTTTGCTCAGTCCCCCCACCCCCAACCCTGCCTGCTCTCCATCTACGAGCCTGTCTCTGTTTTGCTTGTTAGTTCAGTTTGTTCATTAGATCCCACGTACGAGTGAGATCATATGGCATTTGTCTTTCTGTGACCGGCCAGAGTACTTTAAGCAAATGAGTGTTTCAGACCAAAACTGTCTTACAAACTGTCCAGTTTCTTACAGGAACTACCCTCTGGCTCAGCATCACACCAGATCCGCCTTAAGGAAGCACTGAAGCACTCACCGCTCATGGCTGATGAGATTTTGAGACATATTAAAAGTTATTCCTCTAGTTACAATTAAAACTGTAGAAAGTTGGAAATTCAGAAATTATATATGCCTGGCCGGTTAGCAGCAGAGCTAAGCCAGAGCCGAAGAATAAATGACAGCGTTTTGTTCTGCGGAGCAGGGCGTGTGTAGGGGCCCAGAACAGAGGGTTGGCAGTTCTTTGAGAGGAAGTGGTCACCCTTCCCGTAGTTGGGTCGCAGGTTCAGCGGGTTGCATTTCTCACCTTGTAAATGTCCAGTAGTAATACCTCAGTGCTGCCACCAGGAGGTAGCAAAGAGAAGGCAGACTTGCGGCTCAGCTGTGTTTTGAGAGCTAGAAATTCCACTTAACAAATTTCTTTTTCCAAAATAAATTTATCTATTTTAATCCATTTAAATTAGGCTGTGTATTTTTTAACCTCACCCAAGGCTATGTGTATTGATTTTAGAGAGAGAGGAAGGAGGGGAGGGGGGAGAGAGAGAGAGACATCAATGTGAGAGAGAAACATTGATCAGTTGCCTCCCACACACACGCCAACCAGGGATCAAACCCACAGCCTTGGCATGTGCCCTGACGGGGAATCAAACCTGCAACCTTCTGGTGCACAGGATAACACTCCAACCAATTGAGCCATTTGGCCAAGGCTAGCTGTGTATGTTGTTAAAAAAATACAAAAACCTGAGGCAGTTAGTATTTTTTTAGTGAAGTAATAAAAATCAATATTAGACCTCTAATAAATATTTATCCAACAAACTGTTACTGAGCACCCACTACTCTGCTAGGTACCAGGGATGCACAGATGAACAAGAACTAGTCCTGTGCCTAAGGAGCTTGCTCTCTTGCGGGAAGCAGACGTGCACTCCAATCACTAAAACGCCCACTGGGTCAGTCCCCTATTAGGGAAAGGTGTAAAATGCTCTGCAAAGTGGAAGCCAGCTGCTCTTCAAGCCCTTCCTGGGTCTTCTCATTTCTCTGCTCCAACCCCACTGCCTCGTGAACATACCTGGCACTTGCAGGCCAGCTTTTTGGGCACTTTGGTCCCAGTTCAGCGACTTGGACAGCCCCTCCCTTCAAAACTCAGGTCCCCAGCCCACCCTTTCTGCAGGCTGCAGCTCCAGCCCTCTAGGGCTCTTTCTCTTCCATGTCGCCACAAAAACCTTCCAGAAGTTACTGTTTGTTCTTGGTTTGTAATCTCTCCCCTGCACAGGGATATGTTAAACTGTTCTGAAAGTTGTCTTCATCTGCCTCTGAGCACTTTTAAACCACGCCCACAAATAAGCTATTAGCTCTTAGAGGGCAAGAACTATTCCACCTTCCCTGCGCCTCAGTGCAGAGCAGAGCCCTTGTGTGGGAGCCGTGTGTGTGGTGTCCTGTTTCTGTGGCCTTTCTTCATCAGCGTCTGGGTGTCCGTGTGTGTCCACCACAGACCGCCACTCGGGGGGGTGGGACTGTCCTTCAGACGTCCTCCTTGTCCTTCCAGGATCGCAGCACCCTGTTTTTCGCTGTGTGCACAGAAACACTCACGAGGAGGTCCCCGAGAGCTACTGCGACTCCAGCATGAAGCCGACCCCCGAGGAGGAGCCCTGCAACCTCTTCCCCTGCCCAGCCTTGTAAGACGCCCCTCCATTTCCGTCCCCTGGGGTCAGGTCGCTTCTGCTGGCTTGTGCAGAGGACCTTCGTGGCAGATCAAATCTCATGTTATCTGGTTTAGAAAGATGAGTCTAGATCTGATTTAGAAACCTGAGTGTGACCTATGCATTAAACGCAGTCTGTGTAGCAAGAGCCCCTGCCTTTCAGGATCAACACAGGAGCCCGGGGCCTTTGGCAGCGCATTCCCTGGGAGCCCACCCCTTGGGAAACTGGAGCAGTTAGGGTTTGGGAAGCAAAGAATTATCGGGTTGGCCAAAAAGTCCATTTGGTTTTTTTTTTCGTAAGATGGCTCTAACAATTTTGTTAGATTGTATTGTGACAGCTGTGCATTTAAAAGAACTTATCAAAATTGGTGAATTTTTGTGTAGCCACTTTAGTGTGACAATGGAAGAAAATACGTAAGCATATTACGTATTTTCAGCATATTATACTTTATTGTTTCAAGGAAAGTAAAGTGCAACTAAAACACGCATGCAAAAAAAGACCTGGGCAGTGTGTGGAGAAGGTGTGTGACTGACCAAACGTGTCAAACGTGGTTTGCGAAGGTTCGTGCTGGAGATGTCTCCCTGGACGATGCTCCATGGTCAGGTGGACCAGTTGAAGTTGATAGTGATCAAATCCAGACATTAACTGAGCACAATCAATGTTATACCAAGTTTAAACTCAAATTATACAAATCAACAAAGCTACTGGTTAAAAAAAAAAAAGCATTTTTTATTTTATGGAAAAAACATACGCACTCTTTGGCCAACCCAGTACGATCCAGTGTGTCCAGCGCAGCAGGAGAGCTGTGCACAGACCAGTGAAAGTCACGGCTGCCTGGAGAGGTGGGAAGAGCGTCCCAGGAGAGGCTTTGGGCTGCTGATTGAATGATACATAGGACACTTTCAACAGAACAGGCAAAAGGGCTGGTCAAAACTTAATTCTCAAAGTAATAAAAACATAATTCTCATTCAAACACATGACGAGCATTTGCTGACATCTCACTTAATGAACTAGCAGAGCAAGGTGACAGAGGAGGCAACGTGAAACCGGGGTGTGAACAGTGAGAAACAAAGAACAGTGAGTGGAAGACCCAGGTCCGCAGACGCAGGCCCCCACTGAGCGCAGGGCCAAGCCCCGCCCACCCACGTGCTGGCTCCGCGGAGCTGCGTCCCAATCAGGCTGCTAGGGAACTGGAGTCTCCTCTGGGCCAGGGTCTCTATACGTGTCGGCTCTAAGGTTACCACTCAAAACAGAAAAATATTCTTTAATGTCCAGAACCAGATCAATAAATCTGAGATTATATAAAATCTAAAATAATAATAATGAACACTGGACTAAGATTTCTAAGTTAGTTCCAAAGTGGGTTAAGGTTTTCTACAGGATCATGAAACTAAGCTTTAGAGTTTTTCATTTTTTTTTTTACTAGATTAAAATTATTGGTACCTTCTCAGTTTTCTTAAATCGTGTGGACTCACTGGCAAACAGCATGCCGAGCAAAGTCAATCTCTCTACAGAGCCCGGTGGCCCTTGGGCAGACTGGTAAGCAGTGCCATGGAGAAGGGCCACCTACGAGGATTCTGATGGTTGTGTATAAGTCAGCCGAGCTCGTGCCCCCTGCCTGTTGACTGAAGTGACCTGTCCCTGTTGCTCTCTCCTTCCTGAGCCAGCTGGGACATCGGGGAGTGGTCGGAGTGCAGCAAAACCTGCGGCCTGGGCATGCAGCACCGCCAGGTTCTGTGCCGCCAGGTGTACGCCAACCGCAGCCTGACCGTGCAGCCCTACCGCTGCCAGCACCTGGAGAAGCCCGAGACCACCAGTACCTGCCAGCTCAAGATCTGCAGCGAGTGGCAGACCCGCACGGACTGGACTCCGGTATGCGGGGAGGGGGTAGGGGCCTGCTCGGAAGCTCCTCTGCAAGACCCACCACCGCACTCCCGCCTCCCCCCACCATGACCTGACTTGGGAGCAGCCTGGGTTCTCCAGGAGGGAACCTGTCCTGTGGGGCTCTGCATGCTGCTTTCATAACCCATAGCATGTACCAGTAGCTCGATGAAGTTAAAGCTAGCAGGCATCACCGTGGCTGACTCTAACGGGGGCCCCTGGAAGCCAGGGGCAGAGGGTCCTTCTCCCCCCGTCTTTGTGGAGTAAAAGGTTGGCAAATGCTGGTGGAGCCAACACCTCCCAGTCCTCTCTCCCGTTTTGTAGATGACAGAACCGGGGCTTGGATGGACAAAGGAGGCAAGACATCCAAGAAGGTCTTAGGGAAAAGGGTTGTGAACTATTCAGGGCTGGGATCCTCCCCAGGTAGCATCGCGTTGCAGGGGACATGGCGACCCAGGGAGTCTGTCTGTCCAGGCCTCTGTGTGGGGGGCCGGTCACAGGAAGGAGGGCACCGTGACTAGAGAGTCCCCGGAGCCGGCGCTTCCCACCCTGCTCACAGAAGCTTGCTGTCTTCCAGTGCTCGGTGCCCTGTGGGGTGGGGCAGAGGACCCGAGACGTGAAGTGTGTGAGCAACCTCGGGGACGTGGTTGATGACGAGGAATGCAACATGAAGCTCCGGCCCAACGACATTGAGAACTGTGACATGGGACCCTGTGCGAAGAGCTGGTTCCTCACCGAGTGGAGTGAAAGGGTGAGTGTGACAGCAGCAGAGGACATTTGCTAGAGCGGGTGACAGAGGTCTGCTGGGCTAGTGGGGGAGAGCCGTGTGTCACAAGGCACCCCCAACCTGCAGAAAGATGAATTCCTAGCTAACAATCCCAAGGGTAATTTCTGACTTTGGGGAAAAGGCCCGGAGATGAACTATTACAGGCTTTCTATCCTCATATGACTCTCCGTGGCGCTTCCGAGCTCTGGGGGTCGCCCGGGGCCCGGCAAGAGGGCGGGCCGGGTTTCGGCTCTGGTGCCACGATTGCTGGTCCAGGGATGGAGGACACCAGCCACGTCTGTGGAATCTTAGGGGACATTGCGGGGCTCCCGAGCCCTTCCTTCCCAGTGTCATGTGACAACAGTGCAGTATCCCCAGCTTGGAAGAGTAAACTTCACGTGTCAGTGAATGGGCCCGTCCACCCTGCTGGTTGGTTCCAACTGGCCGGCATCCGTTCTGAGTGGTTGGTGCCCACCACGGACCGTTTGTTGAGCACCCAAATGTCACCTGGGGTGTTCGGGTGGGTTTCCGGCATTGCTGCCTCTTGTTACAGTAACGACCCACATTGGTGGGGGTGTGATTGGGAAAGAAAGGACAGAAACACACCCGCAAATGCAGCCTTCGGCCCACATTCAGAGACCCTCCTGGGGAGTCTCTCCAGTGATTTTATCTCCTCACGGTTTCCGACACCTCGTGGCAAACAGTCCCTGCCCCTGGGTCCCCCGAGGGAGAGTCTTTGGCCAAAGCACAGAACTCCTAGGGTGAGCAGCTCCTGTGCCCCCGGTCGCAGGAGTGGACTGTCCTGGGCTCCGATAGTCACCAGGGAGGTGCTAGACAAAGGGACACGAAGGGAAGTGGGTGCTGGTCTAAAGGGGTCTGTTGGCTCGGACAGAGCCAACCCCTTTAAGGGGTTTGCCCCTGAAGCTGGGTGCAGCAGGGCTCACCCAGTCCTGTGCATGTGTTGGCCCCTGTCCGGGCCTCCCGGCAAGGACAGAGCTCCTGGGCCTTGCAGAAGCCGTACAGGAAGGAGCGTCCCAGGGCACTGGGGCCGCCTCCCTGGGGGCAGGAGGAGTCCTGGACAGCGACCCTGATGCAGGTCTGATCCACTCGTCAGGAGCCCCCTGCCTGCCGAGGTGCCAAGACAGTGGCGTCTGTTTCTTGTACAGCCCACAGTGCGGGGAGGTTTTCTCTCCCATTGAGCTGAAGTCTTGCTTGCCGACTGTCAGCCCGTGCTGCAGGAGACGTGCACACGCTGCTTACTCTGCAGACCCTCAGGGGTGCAGAGCCCCTTCCCCTTCTCTCAGGTTAAAAATTCCTAGTTCCTTCAACTGACTCTTTGTCTTTCTGGATTTCTAGCCAGAATCTGTATTCACAGTAAACTTGCCAAACTTAACATGTAAGCAAATGGATGAAAACAGTGATGCTGGCTTTTCCTCTTATACTGGAAAGATGTTTTTTTTTAATAGTTTAATTTTCTGCTCATACAGTAATATACATTATTATAAAGTACCATATTTTTGGACTATAAGATGCACCCTCCCAAATTTGGAAGGAATAATGGTTGTTAATGCTGCTGCCGAGTTCTGTTTGCATTTACACTGGTGAAATGTTATGTTATTTATGTTATTAAATATTTTACTACATTTTTGCTTCAATTTCGTTTTCTGTTTTCCTCCTCTAGAACCTAGGTGTGTCTTATGGTCCAAAAATGTGGTATATGAAAAGAATGTGAAAGTATTCCTGTAATCTCTTCACTAGAAGATAACAATTTAAGATTTTTAAGCTACACTGCCAACCAGTTTTCTACTCATACATACTCTGCATACATAATGTTTTGTATTTATGTATATTTTAAAAATATAAATCAGAATAGATGATCAATTTGTTAACCTGATTTTTCACTTATGTATTATAAGCGTTTTAATGGGATTAAAACCTATAAAGCATGATTTTTAATTAAAATAAGTTATTGCATGACTATTATAATTGAACCACTACCCTATTTCTAAATGTTTAGGAGCATTTTTCTAATCTTTTACTACCTTAAATAATATTTCATAAATATTCTTAGCCATAAATCTTTATATGCACCTTTCCTTGTGTTATGGGACAAACTCCCAGAAACTGTTCCTCTTGCCAACGTAGTAAAGAATTACAGATCAGCAAGCCTACTAGCCTGCAACAAAGTTTATTAGTGCTAAGTTCTAATAGGAAGCAAAGCAGGGGTGGCCAGAGGCTGGGTGGTGAGAGGTCAAGTGGCTAGAAGCCAGGTGGCCAGAAAGTGAGTGAGCTCTTTGTTCCAAGGACTTATGTAGTTGGTGGGATGGGGGTGAAGAAGTTACATGTTGATTGATGGGTAAAGGTGGTTCCAGCTTTCCCAGGGGGGCACGGCTACCCAAATATAGGTATGTGTGGGAGTCTGTTAGCCCGAATCCTTATCTTGCTCCAGACCCCATTTGTTCATTTTGTATATGTGACAGGGGGCAGGTGATTAACCAAAGTTGTTTCACAGGCTTTTTCTTTGGGCACTATAGACCCTCCCCTTTCTCCCCCTTCCAGACCTTGGGATGAATACACAGTCTCAAGGTTTTCCTTCCCCAGTTAGTGGAGACGATACACACAGACTTTCGAGGGCCTCCCCCTGCACTATCTTGCTGTTCGGAATATGCCTGGAAGCCTTACCCAACCAGGCTCAGGACGACTGGGTCACTGGGTGAGACACGTCTTCCTTTGCTGCCAGCCTCCTGTATGGAGTTCTTTGTTAGATTGCAATGGTGAGGGCCCTGCCTTTACTCCCCATCTGGCCACTCATTCCTCTATAACACTTGTTTCCCTAAAATAATGTTTAGGAAGTAGAATTAATTGATCAAATGCTGTGAACTCTCCTAGAACTCTTGACATATTCTGGCATATTTCTCTCCAGAGAGATTATTTCTACTTAGAGTCTCCCAAAAAGCAACTGAGATCACTTTCATAATCCTTTTATTGCACTGATTCTTTCCATCTTTAATTCCATCTCTACATTTGCCACACTCTGAAAAAGGCGCTGGGCTCAGAATGCCCTGTGTACAGAGAAGAAAGCAGCTATGTGGTGGATGAAACTGCGGTGCTTGGCTCCTCCGTGTGCCTCCCGCATTTATTTGGGACAGTAACATCGGAGTGATTGACAGGGAACCCCACACGAGCTGCCCCCCCTCCAGTGAGCGCTCTGCTCTGCGCTTCAACAAGTACTTGCTGAGCCTAACCCGCGTTGCAAAATCTCAAATACAGCAAAAGATGAGCTCTTTGATTCTTCCACTCAGAGAACTTTTGCTTTGAAAAAGGCATTTTAATCCGTGTAATTTTGGTGCTATAATCTAAGTGATTTTGCTTTATCTGCCCCCAGAATAGATCACTATTCCTGAACGTTCACGATTATTTTGGAGCAAATGAATGGGAGGGGATACTATTGGGTTTAAGGAGAGGCATTGCCTTTGGTACCCTTTCCCCAAGGACTTCTTTCTTACTAGACCTTGAGCAGGCTCTTGACTCTCCAAGCCTCGGTTTCCTCATCTGTAACACTACTGAGTGCGCATTAAGGGAAACCATTTGACACCAGGACCCAGATGAGCCCGCAACCTGGGGAGGGCTCCCTGGGGGCTGCTTCATTCTTCTTTGGCTTCACAGGAACACTGGACCTCCCAGCCACCAGCTGGCCTTAGGAAAGGTTCGGCCCCTGAGAATAAGCAGCTGATGGCCGTCTTCCACATGTGGATAGTGGCTGTGTATAAAAATCCACCTGGTCTTGCCCTAGCCAGTTATCTCAGATGGTTAGTGCATTGTCCTAATACACCAAGATTGCAGGTTCAATCTCTAGTCAGGGCACAAATAAGAATCAACCAATGAATGCACAATAATAAATCAATGTTTCTGTCTCTGTGTTCCTCTTTTTTCTTTCTTTCCAAAATTGACAAATAAAAAATTTAAAAATAAAAAAAAACCAACCTTGTTAAGCTTTAGTCTGAACTACGCAGTTTTTAGCATAAACACATATTGAGTACCTATTATAAGCTAGGCATGACTGAGACACAGCTTCCTTTAAGGAGCTCAAGTGGGAGAGAGGAGAAAAAAATGAGATTAAAGTTTATACTTAAGGATCCAGAGTGTGTCTGCAATATTGTAATTTACAAGAAATACAGATGTGGTCATTGAGATGACCGAACCTCTTTGGTCTTCATGCACAGTCCCTGGTTCGCAGCCCCCCAGACCCTCGAATTTCAGTGGTGTTGAAAGTGATAAACGAGTCTTCTGTTACGTTAATGAGATGACTTAAGGGCAGGGGTTGGCTCCGCAAAGTGCCAAGTATGTGTTGAAAGGGTTGGAATTTTCAGTCCCACCCTCGGACCTGGAGGGAAGGGCTGGGGTCTGGGGGTTAATCAGTCATCAGTAATTGATGGGATCCAGGTTGCCCATGTGTGAAGGCTCTGTCCAGCCCAGAATGACGGGGCTCAGAGAGCCTGCGGGTAGCGAAGACAGGGAGATGGGGGAGGCTGGTCACCCTGGAAGCTCAGCCCCCTTCCCACGCTCCTTCCCATAGGCCTGTCTTCTACCTGGCTGTTCCCGAATTGTGTCTGTGTATCATAAACTGGTAGAACGTTTCTCTGATTTCTGTGAGCGGCTCTAGCAAAGCAATGGAACGGAGAGGGGTGTCTTAGGAACCTCGGATATTCAGCCAGTTGGTCAGGAGTGTAGGAACAACCTGAGCTGGGGTTGGCTGCTGAACCTCGGGTGGGGACAGTCGTGTAGGACTGAGGCTTCACCTGTGGAACCTGATGCTGTCTCCGGGTCAGCTGTGTGGGCGTTGAGCTGAGCGGTGGGACACCCAGCTGGTCACCTGAGGATTGCTGGTCGGTGTGGCTGCCCCCACAACATACACACACCAAAATCGGCCCCAGAATACTAAGAGTATCCTCTGGCCTGATTTAAAGTTCATTGATCTCTGCCTAAATGAACTGAGGTTATAAACTCAATCTGGATTTTCTCTTAAACTTCTAGGGTTATATGTGTCACTTTTTCTGACTACATGACTCACCTTAAAAACATCCTTGTAGCTACTTTTAATCAAGGGCGGGCCATATCAGACATTGGCATCATTTGCTTTTTAGTTCTGCAAATAAATGGCAGGTTTAAACACTCATGCAATTTTTAATCATAACACACACACAAAAAAAACTTTTAGGAAATCACCAAGCTCAATTCTGTAACACCTAATTTCTAAGGACATTTTCCAAGAGAAAAAATAAGTCAAGATATTGAGTGTTTTAAATTGTGGAAGATGATTCATGTAACTGCAGTTCAGGAGTAGAATCGTCAGGGCCCGACAGTCCCTCGGGGCCAGCTGCGCCGTGGTCCGAGTTTTGCTGTCGAGAGAGAGCGAGAAGACAGCCCTCACCAGAGTGTGGCTGAGGAGTTTCGTGTGACTCTGTGTTCCATCTGTCCTGACGTTCTTCAGAAATCAGGTTCTTTTCTGAAGTGGATTTGGTCCTTCTTTTACACACGTCCTTTAGAGACAATGAAGGGGGTTTGTCTCGGTGCCTCACTTTGAACTTCAGTCCCTGCTGCCTGGGAGGGACCCCTCCTTCTGGGAGGCTTCCCGGGCCAGGGCCTGTGAGCAGCTCCTTTTAGATGGAAATGGTGCCCTCCTTTTCACCGCGGCCTCTGGGGGCTCATCCTTCTGATGTTCTCTCCCTGGATACCGACGTCCCCCGGAACACTTTTCTTTTAAATTAAGTACGTGGGGATCTGGGGAAACTCTCCCAAGGTGCATGGGCATTACTTGATTCAGAAAGGAGACTTCTAATAAGAATGCAGATAAAACAAAAATCATGAAAAGCATTTGTGAACCTGTGAGGGAGGAAAACTCTTCCTTTACCCTCTTAGGTTCTGCAACGGAGGCCTGCAAACCGAGCTGACTGTAACCAGATTCACTAGAGAAAAGAATGCAAACTTTATTTGATGTTATTTTTTTTTTTTACATGGCATCATGGGGTCAGGAGGAGCTTCACAGGAAAGCAGTGAAAATCCCAAAGAAGTAGTTAGACTTGAGGGACTGTGCACCATTTTAACAAATGGTAGTAAGTTATGAAGTGACTAGACAAAGGGTAAGGGTTTGGGTGGCTGGGGGCAGTGAACTGTAGGAAAGTGGCTGAGAGATATGTGGGAGAAACCAGTGGAAGATAGAGGCTATTTTAGTAAAGTTTGTTTGTGCAAATCATCTTGGTTCCCCATCACCAATAAGAATGAACTCTTCTTCCTGGAACCGGGAGGTACCTGTCTCATGGGAAAAGTACGCCCTGCTTTAGGCAAGAAAGGGGCGGGCGGAGAGTTCTTCTTGCATCTGCTGTTTCTTAATTGCCTTCAGCTCAAAATAACTAATATGGCAAAGCAGCATGTTTGGGGCACGTTCTAGCTGCCCCGCTCTCTGCCCCAGAGGGCGCCTCCCTACGGGGCCAGGCCCAGCTCAGCAGCAGGGCCGCATCAGGGTCTGATCACCCTTCCTGGGCTGCGATATTTGTTACAAGGTGAGGCAGCCAGCTACAAAAGCAAAAGTAGAAATTTTGATAGGGAAACAAGGTTGTTAGTATTTTTCCTTTTCCCAACTTTATTTAAAATTATATCGCTTTCATTTACTTTTAAAAACAGTAATGTTGATAGAAACCAAACATTGACTCTGTTTTTAAGAAAAGATCCAGCAGAACCCCCTGGCAGGGCGTCGGCCATCACACACAGGCACTTCCAGAACTGAAAGCTGCTGATAAAAGAAGAGAAATGAACGAGGGTGGGCCAAAGTTGGTATTTATTTGTTCAGCTGACGTTCAGGGACACACCCAGAGGGGAGGTGCTGACTGAGAGTGAATCAGAGATGACGTAAAAGTCTCTGCTTACCCAAGCCTGCTTCTTCAATGAAAAAAAAGAAAAAAAGACAGGACAAGTAACCACAATGCAAGGCCAACAGCGGAACACAGATGTCATGAGGATTCTGAAGATGGGAAGGGTATGTTAAATTGGGCGTCAAGACAGTTTTCACAGAGGAGACGGCATTGGAGCTAAGCCCGGGCAGCTCCGGGCTGTTCTGGGGAAGCGCAGAAGGCGCGCCAGGGAGGCCGGGGAGCATTTCCCGCCACCCGGGAACCGTGAACCCTGGCTCTGTCCAGGACAGGCGGTGGTCCTCGCGTATTACATCAAACCGGTCAGCCCCGAAGGTTTTTTTGGCTCATGCGATTTTTTAAAATGTGGAAACCCCTATCCGGAAGCTAGAGTGTTCCCGATGTGTAACAGAGGATTAGCCTGGAAGGGCGGGTTGACCGGGGCTGTGCTGTAGGAAACCTTTAATGCCACTGGGGCAGTCCATAAGTAAGTGTCACTGGAAACGGAGCAGCAGCAGAGGGAGGCCAGCGTGGCTGTCCCAGCACCTGGAAGCCAGTGACTTAGAAGAGCTGCAGATGCCGAGTGAGGAGCTGCAGCCACAGTCCAGGGGAAGAACGTCAGCCGTGCTGGGAACATGGGCAGAAGGGACGAGACAGGAAAATGGGCTTAAGCTAGAATCTCTGGGACCTGCTAGCCGGCCAGATGTGGGAAGCCAGAGGCAGAAGAGCAGTAGATTTTGAATCCAGATGCACCTCTGAACACAAGCTGGAAAACCCAGAGAAGGGGAACAGTGATGAAGGTGGTGTCCCATCATTTCACCTGCTGAACGTGAGGCGTCTGAGGGGCACCCACATGAGGACGCCCTGAAAATGAGGCAGCTCTCCAAAGTGTTTCAGGACAGACGGAAAATGCTCGCGGAGCTGCAGGGGGCGACTCGGGGGAATGCGGACCGGGCCCTGAGTGTGGATGGAGAGAGATTGTTATAATGAAATCACTACAGGTTACATGGCTCCAAGTGAAGGCAGGTCCTGTGAGCCGTGGTTTTCTGTATCTTAGAGTTCGGATGTTGGCGCTGGCCCTTTGAGGCCCCTCATACCAATATTGAGTAACTGCTGTGGGCACTCACTGAACACCTGCTCTCCGCGTGCCATTCATCCCCCGTAATCCGGACTGGAGCGTGTTCCCACGCCAGCTGTCGGGTACACTGGCCACAAGTGAGAGGATCTGGATCACCTACCCCAGGCCACACAGCTGGTGGGGATGTTAACACTACTATGCTGGTTCCCAGGCCAGGCTCTCCCTTTATACCAGGGAGAGCCTTCTGATCTACTATCACAGCTGTGGCCTTCGGGGACTGGAGCCCTGTGCTTAAATATTAGGCAGCAATGTTGAGTTGTCGGTCCTTCACTGTCACGCCAGTTTCCCTCCTTCCCAGGCCAGCCCGGACTTACTGGCAGCAAGCAAATGTGTGCCCATATTTTCCTGTTCTCATCCTTCTTGTGGATTTACTTTCAAAAGCAAAAGCCAGGAAGGACCTGTGGTTTGACGAATGTAAGCATGTGAATCACTAATGAGACAGAGTATTAGGAACATACACAGTCCCAGAAAATCTAAGGCCAGGGGATCTGCCAGACTGATATCTCGTGGTGGAGTGGGCCATGCACGAGAGGTGGTCAGAGATTTCTAGGGGAAAGAAGTGGTGGGGAAGCAAGGTGTTTGATCCTCCTTCGCGTCATTTGAAAATGACTTCAGGACCTGCTCGGTGAGGGCTTCCCTCTAACATGCCCATCTTCTGTCTCGCAGTGCTCAGCAGAGTGCGGGGCTGGAGTGCGGACGCGCTCGGTGGTGTGCATGACCCACCACGTCAGCAGCCTGCCCCTGGAGGGCTGTGGGAACAACCGGCCAGCAGAAGCCACCCCGTGTGACAATGGGCCCTGCACTGGCAAAGTGGAGTGGTTTGCTGGGAGCTGGAGTCAGGTGAGTGGCCAAACTGGGTGTATCTGCCTGCCCCTGGTAAGAGGCAGCATGGCAGAGAGGTGACGAACCGGGACCTGGTGTGTGCTGGGTTTGAATTCCAGCTGTGTTACCCATCACCCTGAAGAAGTTTCTTATGTTTTGAGAGCCTCATTCAGACAACAGTATTTACTGAGCACCTACTATGCTCTTTTTAAAATATATTTTATTGATTATGGTATTACAGTTGTCCCATTTCCCCCCTTTATTCCCCTCCACCCTGCACATCCCCTCCCACCTGTATTCCCAGCCTTTAGTTCATGTCCATGGATCGTACATATACATTCGTTGGCTTCTCCATTTCCTATACTATTCTTAACCTCCCCCTGTCTATTCTGTACCTACCATTTATGCTACTTATTCTCTGTACCTTTTCCCCATCTCTCTCCCTCCCACTCTCCTGCTGATGACCCTCCATGTGATCTCCATTTCTGTGATTCTGTTCCTGTTCTAGTTGTTTGCTTAGTTTGTTTATGATTGTGTATTTTTTTTAGATTTGGTTGTTAGTAGTTATGAGTTTGTTATCATTTTACTGTTCATATTTTTTATCTTCTTTTTCTTAGATAAGTCCCTTGAACATTTCATATAATAAGGGCCAGGTGATGATGAACTCCTTTAACTTGACATTATCTGAGAAGTACTTTATCTACCCTTCCATTCTAAATGAGAACTTTGCTGGATAGAGTCATCTTGGATATAGGTCCTTGCCTTTCATGACTTCAAATACTTCTTTCCAGCTCCCCCTTGCCTGCAAGGTTTCTTTTGAGAAATCAGCTGACAGTCTGATGGGAACTCTTTTGTTGTAAGTAACTGTCTCCTTTTCTCATGCCCTTTTAAGATTCTCTCCTTATCTTTAATCTTGGCTCATGTAATTATGATGATGTGCCTTGGTGTGTTCTTTCTTGAGTCCAACTTCTTTGGACCTCTCTGAGCTTCCTGGACTTCCTGGAAGTCTATTTCCTTTGCCAGATTGGGGAGGTTCTCCTTCATTATGTTTTCAAATAAATTTTCAGTTTCTTGATCTTCCTCTTCTCCTCTGGTGCCCCCATGATTAGGACGTTGGAATGTTTAAAATTGTCCTGGTGATTCCTCAGCCTCTCCTCATTTTTCTGAATTCTTGTTACTTCATTCTGTTCTGGTTGAATGTTTTTTTCTTCCTTTTGCTCCAAATTGTTAATTTGAGTCCTGATTTTCTTCCCTTTACTGTTGGTTTCCTGTACATTTTCCTTTATTTCACTTTCATAGCCTTCACTTTTTCCTCTATTTTGCAACCATACTCAACCAATTCTGTGAGCATCCTGATTACTAGAGTTTTGAACTGTGCATCTCCTTTACTTGACATTATCTGAGAAGTACTTTATCTACCTATCAGATGATAGGTTGTCTATCTCTTTGTTTCTTAGTTGTATTTTTTCTGAAGCTTTGATCTGTTCATTCATTTGGGCCTTTTTTTTTTTTTTTTTTTTTTTGTCTCAACACGCCTGTTATGTATTAAGGGGCGGAGCCTTGGTGTTCACCAGGGTGGGGTAACCTACGTCGCTGTGTTGTGACACCATAGGTGGGGCAGAGGTCCAGGAGGGAACAATGGCGCTTGCTCCACTCCCTGCCAGTTTTCAGTCACTTCCCCCAGTTCCCACAAGCAAATTGGGCCCTTCTGGTGCTGATTCCCAGGTGGGTGGGTTTGTGCACATTCTAGGACCCTGTGGGTCTCTCCAACAAACTCTCTTGTGAGGCTGGGAGTTTCTCCTGCTGCCTCAACCCCTACAGGTGTTTTCAGTCAGAGGTTTGGGGCTTTATATTCCCACATTGGAACCCTAGATTGCACAGTCTGTCTCACTCCCCAGTTGTTCCAACCAGTTTATCTGCACGTGAATGTGGAACCTCCCAATACACAATCTACTGCCTCACCGCGAGTCCTCTCCACCCAGTTCTCCCGCCCTCCTCCCAGTCTGGATGAATGTTTCTTCTTTAACTCCTTGGTTGTCAGACTTCCATACAGTTCAATTTTCTATCAGTTCTGGTTGTTTTTTGTTTTTAAATTTGTCGTTGTCCTTCTTTTGACCTGAAGTTCCTGTGTTCTCTTCTAAGTGCTTGGGATACGTCAATAAGCAAAACAAATATCTCTGTCCTCAGGGATGCTCGTGGTCCAGCGTGGTTTCCTTGTCTACAGAATATTGGTAGTGACAGCACCTTAGTAGTTATTTTAGAAGAAATGAAGTCATGTATCTTCTGTATGTAACACAGTACCTGACATACAATAAATACACAATAAATCATAGCTAATGCTATCATTATTGTTAGTAAAGCCAGTTTGTATCTGAGTGTCAGAAGCAGAAATAGATATGAGCCAGCAATCCTGCTCCTGGATACATAGCCAAAGGAAACGAAATCATTATCTCAAAGGCATTTCTGCTCCCCTATGTTCAAAGCCGCATTATTCACACTTAGCCACAGTATGGAAACAATCTCAGTGTCCATCGACAGATGAGTGGATAAGAAAATATGTATAGGAATATTATTCAACCTTTAAAAAAGGTAAATCCTGCCTTTTACAACAACCTGGAGGAACCTCATCCGAGGAGGAATGCTATTTCACCAAGTGAAATAAGCCAGAGAAAGAGAAATACTGCATGGATTGAATTACTTGTCTAAATAAGCCAGACTCAGAGAGGAGAATGATAACTTCCAGGGGCTGGGGTGGGGAGAATGGGGAGAGGTGGGTAAAACTTACACTTATAAAATGAATAAGGTTTGAAGATCTAATATATACCATGGTGACTGTAGTTCATAAAGCTATACTGAACAACTGAAATTTGCTATTAGAGTAGAACTTAAATGGTCACACCGAAAGAAAGGTAAGCACACATTAACTCAATGGTGGGAATCCTTTTACTACGCATGAGGGAGGACCCACAAAAACCAGAATTATGTTCTGGAGGGTGGGTCCCTTGTTATAGATTCCCCCACTGGGCAAGTGTTCTAGGAACCCGTCTGTATCAGTGTGCCAGCTGGCGCTGTTGTGAGAGGCTGCATTTGGCTTCAGTGAATTTTTTTTGAAGACTCAATGTGTTTGCCCACTTCATGATGAATGAAGTTTGTGAGCACATCTGCCCACATTGTGCTGAGTGTTCAGCAGTTTTTGACCCAAAAAGGCATGATCCTATGTCCCACCCTCCCTGTTCACCCGATCTTGCCCTAAGCAACTTTTTTTTGTTTCCCCATGAAAAATGCCCTCAAAGAGAAAGTTTTGCTGATGTGGAAATGGTGAAGCAAAAAGTGAGAGAAGCACTGAAAGGCATCAGAATTGACAAGTTCAAAAACTGTTTTGAGAAGTGAAAGAAACATCTCAGTAGGTGTATTGCATCAAATGGAGAGCACTTTGAAATTTAAACGTGGAAGAATAAGTACACAAATTTTTATAAATAAATTCTGAGTCTTTTGGGTCATCCCTGACATACATACGCCAAATCATTAATTTAAATACGTTATAATTTTATTTGTCAATTATACATCAATAAAGCTGGGGAAATAAAGAAGCAAAAATAGAAAAAGTGAGGTTGTTCATTATAAAAAAACAGTTAATACTGAATACTTTAATAAAGTGACTTAATTGATCAATTAATTTTTTTTTTTTGCTGTTTTAAAATGAACATGAACTCACTAAGAAAATGTGGAAAAGGCCCTGGTTGGTGTGGCTCAGTGGATTGGGTGCCAGCCTGTGAATCAAAGGGTCGCCGGTTTGATTCCCAGTCAGTGCGCATGTCTGGGTTATGGGCCAGGTCCCCAGGGTGGGGGCGTGCAAGAGGCAACCACACACTGATGTTTCTCTCCTTCTCTTTCTCTCTCCCTTCCCCTCTGCCTATAAATAAATAAATAAATAACCCTTTTTTAAAATAAAGAAATAGTGGAAAAGATCATTCCATCTGTTTTTTTTTGTTTGTTTGTTTGTTTTGTTATGATTACCATCAGTATTTTGAGTTCTTGGACCACTTAGCACTTGGCTCCCAGGGCTGGCTGCTCCTCCAAAAACTTTTTGGCTTTTGGTCATGATTTACACTTTATCAGGACCTCTGGCTCCATATAGAATTTTACTTCTTTTAAGTAGCTTTAAACACAGACCCTGAAAAAAACGGGCTGCCTTGTCCTTGTAAATTGATACAACCCCTCTGGCAATAAAAGTCAAGAACCATAAGAATGTTCATTTGCCTTAACCCAGTCACCCCACTGCTGGGGATTCATTCTAAGGAAATAATTAACAGAAGAAAAAAGGTTTCTCAACAGAGATGTCCATGACAGCAGGGCGGTGAAGGGTATTATGGTATATCAAACCGCGTTAAAATATCATGTAACAACCACGATCACTAGGAAGACGTAGAAAGTGCATTGATACAGTGACCAGTGGAAAAACATGGAAATCTATGAATCCTATGGTCTCAACCACTTCAAATCATAGAAAACAACACCAGGAAATGTTTTTTTTTCTCAAATTTCCTTTAATGATCTATAATACAAACTATAAAATATAGAAAATTAAGAAAGCAAAATCAAATATGCCCAAAGTACCCTGTACTCATAATACTTACTTACTTAACAACTGACCCCAGCTCTACGTCTCCTTAGTTCTCTGACGTGGGGCCACTAATTTAACCTCTCCGAGCCTGCTTCCTCATCCAAATGTGGGGATGATAACGCCAACTTCCTAAGGAGGTTACTGGGATTTCATGAGATGCTATGCAGACAGGGGTTGCCCGTTGCTTGGGACATGGGAGGTACTTAACAAATACTGGTTCTCCTCCTTCCGCGTTTATTGCTGTTGCTGCTGGCTATTTCTATCTCTGCACTGGTCACGGGAGACCTAGGACCTAAACCCCAAGGGTAATTCAGAAGTGGAATGTTACCTACAGGATGCCAAATGTCTGTGGAAACTGAGGCAATAGGAAGCGTCCCACCCGAAATGATAACACCAGGCGCTGAGAGGATGGGGTGCACTCCAACTCCCACCAGTCTCAGGAGAGGGGGGAGAGCAGGGTTCAGGGTCTTCTTTGCCTGTGGGCCTCCTTTTGACTCTAGACCTGAGCTCAGAAAACAGGTGAATCCAGGTCAAAGCAGCCTGTGTTGTAAAGATTAGAAGATGCTGCTAAGATGAGACACGTGGAATTCGTTGCCCTGTTGTCCAAAAGGATCAGAACGTGGTTGGATGTGGGCAGCGTTTGAGCTCTAGATCTGTAAAAATGGTGGAGTCTGCTGGCACCCCGCTGCCTGGGAAATTTGACGTCCTCCCCAAAGAAAAGAAAATAGATAACGCTTATTTATTGAAGGCTAAGTCTTAAACATTTGACTTGAGAATGTAAAAATAAATATGTCCTTTCTGCCATGTGCTCTGAATGAGAGTCGGCATCTTGAACACCCCCAGCCTGGTCTCGGTGATGGACGGGTGACCTGAGCCACGTGGAGCAGAGTCCTTCCCTGAGACTTTGATGGACTTCCAGAAAGAGACCCCCTGGCAAGCAGCGAGCCCAGGTGCCAGCAGTGGCGTGTGGAGAAAGCCGGCCCAAGAGAACGAGACCTGTAGAACCTGGGGAATCTTTTCCACTCCAGAGGCGAGGTGTTAGTGGCCCAACTCTTATTCACAGGGTGTTCCAGCAAGTCTGTCACTCGTGCCCAGATGTTTCCCGGGTTTATTTCACCTTTAGATCATCTGAGCTCTGAGGTCTGTCTCACAGCTGCTGGTCTGCGTGTGTGTCTGGACCGTATTTACTCTCACTGGCTCTGGAACAGACACCCCCACTCACACTCACCTGGCCTTCAGGTGAGGAGTGCAGAACTGCTGTCGCCCTCAGTGGGAGCATTTATCCTTATTAAATGTCATTTTTCTCTTCTATGCTTTTCTTCAGGAATTGTATTTTATCTGATATTTGTATCACTGTCTCTTATTTCTTACTATTGATTTTCACCTGGTCTACCTTTGTCAACTTCCTATGTGTTTTTAAAGCGTGTCTTATATGTGCAAGACTATTTTTGTCTTTATTTTTACCCAATCTGCAAATCTCTATTTTTTAAGAGTTAAATTTTAACTATTCACATTTATCGTACTTACTTACTTGTTGGGACTTTTTCCTGCCACCTTATTTTGTGTTTTCTATTTCATTTGTATTGTCATGCTTTCTTGGCATTGTTTTTTCCTCTTTCCTCTCCACACATTTATATTGGTTAGGCTTCCTTAATTCCACTTTTTCCCCTCTAACTTATGGAAGTTATAAATCCTCTTTCTATTCATCTAGTGATAACAAAAGAAAAAAAGATTTAGCACCTAGTTTTAAACTTTTATGTTTCTATCAGTGTCAAGTTCAGTAACCACATTCTCTCAATCAATAATACCTCCAAAAAGAGGTCAAGACCATCTGGGTTTAGCCCCATTTCAATGTTGATTAACTTATATAAAATACTAATCTAGATTTTAAAATAGCTTCCTCCCATTCGAAGGTTATTTTCATTGAAATATAATTCACACATCATAAGATCCAGCCTTTTACAGTACAATTCAGGGGTTTTAGCATGTCCACAAGGCTGTGCAACCTTCACCACTACCCAATTCCAGAACATTTTCGTCCCCCAGAGGGAACCCACATCTATTACTGACAACAGCGTGTGCTGGTGTCTTTGCCGACTTCTGCTGTGGTGTCCTGGGTCTTCCCCCTAACTCTTTTTAATTTTGTGGGAGACCAGTAATTCTTTGTAATGGGATTCATAAGCCATGTGTTCTGAGCCCTCGAATATCTGGAAATGTCCTCACTCTGCCCTTTGACTTGAATGCTCCCAGGATGGGCAGGCACCTTGGCACAGTCAGGTTCCTGGTCGGATCCTGGCTGACCGCGATCTCATGGTCCTGCGGCCTCGCTCCCTCCGTCCTCCCAGCCACACGGCCGCCGCCGTTCTCACACAGAGCACCTGGGCGGCTCCTCTTGGTCAGGGGCCCTCCTCTGTGCCACTCTGGACTCTGACCCTCTTCTTCTACCATCTCATCAACCTTCGCCCGTCTGAGACTCTCCATAATTCCCAGCCCAGCGGGGATGAGGGCCCTGTCCTGTCTCAAACACCGTCTCTCACGCACACAGACACCGTTCCATTCATTTGTCCCCCACACATACACGCTGCCTTTTCTGGGTGTGAGATGTGTGCTCGTTCTCCCTCGGCCACCTAATGTCTCCAGGGAATTTACAAGCAGGGTACAAAATAACTTCAGGCGTTGGTTAGGGTTCATAGGCTGCTATTCTTCCAAGCCTCTCCGAGCCGTCACCGGTCTTTCAGATTCGGTTTCCAGACGCCTCCAGTTTGCAGGTGTGGCGGTGAGACCCAGGAAAGTGCTGAGTCTTGGCCAAAAACACAAAACTACTCAGTGACGATGTCTAGACTGGTTTCCGCGTCTCCTCCTGCCCTCAGTCCAGGGCTCCGCTCCTGCCGCCCCGGGAACCTCACACATGACCTTCACTCCTCCTCCGCCGGGCAGCCCCTGCTCCTCGCCTGCCTCCGATTCTTCCATTGTCTGTCGTGCTTGAAAGAAAAGGACAAAACGTGAACACACTGAATATACGCCAAGTCAATGGTCAGCTAACATGTTACAATGAGCACTGTTACGGACGAGAGAGACCACGTCCAGGGAAATAAATCCCAGGTCCGAAACCTCATTAATCCTCACTGTACACATCACAGATAAAATGCAGTCTGCCTGTGAGGCTGGGACTGGACTGAACTCCAGCCAGTAAATTAACTAACTAACTAACACGGAAGAGAAAGGACAGGCAAGCTGAGGAGGTTCTCCGGGTGCACGTGAGGACGGCGGGAAAGAAGGCACGAGGCAGAAACTGCCGGTGGCAATGCCCGTTATGCCCGGGGCGGCCAGTTCACAGTCTGTTGGTCTCCTTTTTCCTGTACAGATGTGGGTTTCCCTGTTTTTGTTTGACCCTGTGCCTGCCTGCACAAGCAAGGCTGTGTTAAGCGTTTCAGCTGTGGACATTGTTTAAAACTCCTCATTGAGGCAGTGGATTCTTTAAAGTCTCTAAAGGCCCATGAACCACAGCTTTAAAATTTTTTAATCAAGAAATATTGAGTAAAGTACACAGGAACAAAAAACATTTTACAAAGCAGTAGGTTTGTGGGTGATTATATGCCTGACGGGAGGCTCCGAGGTGCATCTGTGCCTGACTGGCCTCCACGCTCAGAGCCCCACGAGCGCCGGCACCAGGTCAGGGAGCTGCCTTCTGCCGTGACAGCCTTCCTGCTGGCCACCCTGCTGGGAGGGGAGAATTGACAGTATCGTCCCAAGTCTAGAACCTTCTACTCAGCTTAACTTGGTCCTTCATGCACAGGTGTGGAGCCTCTGGGAGACAGTTCGTGCCCTGTGTCCACCCACAGGGGCCAGTGGGAAACCCAGGGCGTTAGCTCAGTGCTTCACAGTCAGAGGGGGGCTCCTGTGGGGAACCTCTGGGGGGCCGTTTCACTCTCAGCACAGAGGGCACCAGGGTCTCTTCAGCCAAGAGCCTGAAGCTGTGACAGCTCGGGGCACCTGCTCTTCACTCCAGACACACAACCGTTAGGAACATTGGGGTGCCCGGGCCGTGTCTGCTCTGGCGATGTTTCTGGTGGCCTGGGGCTCTGCCTCACTGAATGGGTGACAGAAAGCACGCACAAACATACCTCGACAGACAGTACTTCTCCTGTCCTTCCCATGGCATGACACCATCTTTCTCTGCTTCTTTCTTCAGTGCTCCGTGGAGTGTGGGAGCGGGACCCAACAGCGGGAGGTGATTTGTGTTAGGAAGAGTGCAGACACCTTCGAAGTGCTGGACTCCTATGAATGTTCTTTCCTGGACAGACCCCCCAGCCAGCAGTCCTGCCACCTCAAGCCTTGCGGGGCCAAGTGGTTTAACACAGAATGGAGCATGGTAAGTCAGGGGGCTGTTGAGCCAGATTGCATTCGACATCGGTCTCCTGCTTTCCTCCCTCCCTCACACGCACCTGGGCCACCTACCAGGCGCCAGGCACTGGGCTCAGCCCTCAGGTGCATTCCCTACAGTGATCAATCCCCGGTCACGGTCAGGGCGCCCCAGACACAGCCCACTCGGTGGGTGCAGCCTGAGGCGGAGACCATCCTGATCTCTAGACTGCGGAGCCAAGAAGCAGTGACTCTCACGTTTCAGGGCACAGAAGAATCCGCTGGGATCTTGCTAGAAAAGATCAACTCCGGGTGCAGCAAGGAGGAGCCTGCATTTCTAATGAGCTCCTCAGGAGAGTTGGATGAAGGCGTCCCAGGGCCACTTTGGGACTGGTCCTGTTTCTCTCTTTGAATTGGCTGCGGAGAAACTCAGAGCTAAAATGTGGACCACCTCTAAGACAGAGTTTATCAGACCTTACAAAATGGATTTTTCCTACGTGTGTCCTCTTTTTACCCCAGTTTTCCCACTTTTTTTTTTATACCTTGTAGCCCTCGAAGCATTTCTGAGGCCATCTCAGAGCCTTTTTGCAAGGCAGAGGGCCGTGTGGAGGTGGCGAGAGGCAGGGAGGGCGCCCAAGAGACAGCAAACGCAGCAGTGATAGGTTGTTAGGGGTGAAGTGGGCAAGGATGGAAACAGTGATGAACCACCACCCCCTTTTTTCAAGTAGAAGAGAGTTTATTTTCGAGAAACATCCTAAAACAGAAAGCATCCTTGGGGCATCAGTGCCGTGGTGGCCTTGGACACACTGTGGGTCGTGGGGTAGAAGATCCCCCTGTGTGGCTGTCGGTGAGTCCGGGGTGGAGACCAGAGCCCTTCTCAAAATCACTCAAAGGTGATAAAAGGGGTTTTGCTTATAAAATATGTGAATAAACACTGAGAATTCTGTTTCCAAAGACTGTATGTCAGCACGAGTGAGGACAGCCATTCGGGAGTGTGGAGAGCCACACCCCAGAGGCAGAAGGAAGGACGGAGGTGCCCAGGTTCAGGGCCGTGCTGCCAATTTCCGGAAAATGGGGCTGAACTACTTTGATGTCAGCCGAGGCCTTTGAGAATACACAAACAAACAGATCACTGCTTTCTTCCACCACTTGGTTTGGAGAGTCTAGAAAGGGCCAGACACAGCAGGTCACATCGCAGGGGACAAACTCCGAAAACGCCTGGCGGGAAACAGCCCGGATGTCCCTCCGCAGGTCAAGGCGGCGCCTCGGACGGCAGAACGCTGCTCAGCGGCGAAAACAAATGAGCACTTGGCACCTAAACGCCATGGGCGAACCCCACATGCATTCTGCTAAATGAGGGAAAGACCCCAAAAGCTGCAAATCGTATGATTTCCTTTATGTAATGTTCTGTAAAAGGCCGAAGTGTAGGGACAGACGCCAGACCGATGAGTGCCAGGGGACGCGGTGGGCCGAGTCTCACTGCAAACAACAGCACCAGGGGTCTGGCGTGTGTGGCGGGACTTGGATGTGAATGCTAACAAAGACTGTGAGGGAACCTGGATGTCTCTGAATGTGCCTTGTTTTATAAGTTTGAACCTAAGGTGAGAAAAGATACAGATAAGAAAGGCAGATGCAGTTTAAGTGAAAATCCTGTTGCCCTGAATCTGAATTGGAAATATCAGTGTGAACTCATAAATTCACACTCTTACTTTCCTAGTTGTAGCCACTGAGAGAGCCTGGAAACACAAGCAGCCCAGCAGCACAAGGCACCCTACCAGCCAGAGTGTGATTCCAGTGCAGCCCCCTCCACGAGAGGGACCGGGAATTAGGTCAATGGCTGGCTCCAGGTCTGGGACCATGTATATATAAATTAGATACCTTTTTAGAACGGCAACAAAGACGTTCTCAAAGGCACCTGAGTTTCTGGGCAGAGGACTCAAGAACCAACTTTTAGAGGCTCCTGCCAGCCCCTGATGGGCATCAGTGAGCAGCAGGGAGAATAACAACTGGCACAGACGGAGACACAGCACACATGGTCGATCCACCCAGTATGATCGTGCTCTGTATGATTGGAGGACGTAGTGGAAACCGACTCATTATCCTCCTCTAGGTCAGTGCAGAGTGTGTAGGGCGTGGCCGAGGGTGGGGGATCGAAGAAAAGGAGATTTGATACAACGTTACTCTGATTTCTCAACCCTGAGTGAACTAAAGCATCTGGGCCCTGCTGACGTCCCCAGAGAGTCATGCACACCCTATGAAGTGGCCTCACCACAAACAAGTCAAACCTGCACCTGTCAAGGCCTCTTCTGGCCCCGATTTCCAATTTGCAGAGGACCACACTCAACTGTACCACAGGGACGCAGTCAGCAAAATCCTGACTGTGGGACGCTCTCCTGGACACATAACTCGGCAGGGGCAGGAAGCAGCGAAGAGGGGGGATGTATGGGTTAAAGGTCATGTATGCAGACCTGATATGGATCCTAGTTTTTTTAAAAACTGTATTTAAAAAAATCTATGAGATTCACAAGACAAGTGAAAATAGGAACACTGAATATCTATAGGGGTGGGCACGTGAAGAGTTTTTCCTTGTATTATTATTTATTAATTACTGCATTATTTTCTATGCAAACAACTGTAAACCTACTTTTGCCCACCTCTGTATTTAAAAACAACACAGAACTGTGTATGGTTCATTTCTAGACGTAATAATGGTATCGTGGTAATTTTTATAAGGTCCTTGTGTTTTAGAACCACAAACTGAAATACTGTGGAAGACATGATATGGTGTCTAGATTTGCTTCACGACAGTCCAAGGGGAGCCTTGGCTGGTGTGGCTCAGTTGGCTGGAGCATCGTCCTGTAACCAAAAGAACACGGGTTTGATTCCCCGTCAGGGAACATGCCTGGGTTACGGGTTTGATTGTCTCTGATAGGGGTGTGTATGAGAGGCAACCAACTGATGTTTCTCTTCCTCTCTCTCCCTCCCTGCCTTCTCTACAAAATCAGTAAGTATGTCCCAGGGCAAGGATCAGAAATAACAGCAAGAATTCGAGGGGCAGACTTGGGCAGGGTGTAGGTGGGACATGACTTGCCACGAGTTGATGGGTGTTGAAACTGGCTGATAGCTGCATGAGAGTCTGTTTGAATATTCTGTCTCTTTTTGGAGATGTTTGAACATTTCCCGTGTCTGCCCTCTGCAGTATGCTGGGCCAGTAGGCTGCCAAGAAATCTCACTCTCTCCCTGTGTCCCCAACGCAGTGCTCCAAGAGCTGCCAGGGTGGCTTCCGGGTCCGTGAGGTGCGCTGCCTGTCAGACGACATGACCCTCAGTAATCTCTGTGACCCTCAGCTGAAACCAGAAGAGAAAGAATCGTGCAACCCTCAGGACTGTGTCCCTGAAGTCGGTAAGCAGGGCAGCCCCACCTTGGAGTAAAGACTCATCTTTGTTCAGCTCAGTCAAGTTCTCCAGTGTGGAAATGCCGCACCCACCTGGGTGTCTCTGCGACCTTGTGCATAGTCACAGAGTTCAGGGGTCAAAGTACTTTGGGGATGATGCATTTTGTGGGTGGCTTGGATCGCCACTCACAAAAGATAAAGTTGGATGTGAGTTCATTACAATGGGAATGCATTCAGAGACTTGGTTCCATCCCCCTCAGGTCGGAGCAGTGAGATGTCAGCGTCGCGTTTAAAGAACAGAGAGAAACACAAGCTCCAGTCTAGCGGGTAGTGGGGGATGGGTAGCAGGGCCTGGCCGCGACCTCGCGGTGCTCTGCCTTCCCCGGGGTTGCCGACCCAGTGCTCACAGCGTCTTGTTCTCCCTGCTCCAGACGAAAGCTGCAAGGACAGGTACTACAACTGCAACGTGGTGGTGCAGGCCCGCCTCTGCGTCTACAACTACTACAAGACCGCCTGCTGCGCCTCCTGCACCCGAGTGGCCAACAGGCACCCGGGCTTCCTGGGAAGCAGATAACACCCTGCACCCACCCGCCGCCGAGCAGCAAGTCTGGGAGCAGGGTGACCGGGGGCTGCTGCTCCCCCCGGGGCGCCCTGGCCCAGGGCGCTGCCAGCCGCGGGTCACCGGCCCTGCCTTCCTAAAGTGTGTGCGCAGGGCCCGAAGCAGAGCCTTGCTGTGAGCATCGCTGCCAACGGACGACCCCTCTGCGGGAAGCCTGGCGCCCGCTAACGGCGCTCTGCGGAAACCAAGCAGTGGGGCGGACCTGCGGCAGCTCTCAGCCAACTCCCTCCTGGCACTTTCTAAGTCGGTGATCGCCCTCACTGGGCGGGCGCTGCCTCCTCTCCGGTGCTGCTGGCCTCTCCGCGGTCAGCGGCCCCTGGAGTCAGAGGAGGCAGCGCCCCTACCCCGGGGCCCCACACAGCGTCTCTCTGTTACCTCAGCCCGGCTGTGCCTGTCTTCAGTCTCAAAGACATTAGGCTGTTTTCCTGCCTGATGACCAGGTATCTCTCCTCACTGGCGTGCTTTATTGTTTCACAGCCATATTCACAGTCCTGTTAATCCCATAAGTGGCTCACCGCATCCCAGAATGGGGGACAGGGAATCAGTCACCTTCCTCATTTTATTGACAAGGCAACTGAGACTCAGTGACCTGCCAAGCACAGTCACTGGTCAGTGGCAGAGCTGAGTCCCATCCCCCATCAGGTTTACTGACCACAAACCCTCACCCCAAGGCTAGTCCAGAAGTCTCGGGTCTGCAGGATGCGGCTTCATTTCAGACCTAGAGGCTGACAAGTTTCCCAATCAGAAAACCCAGGCCTTTGCATTTGACCTTTGCCCCAGCCAAAGGCCAAAGTGTCCGCCCAGCAGCAGGAGTTTCGGAAGTCCGCTTCCTGGCATCCCCTCCCCCACCAAGTCACGGAGCCTGGCCACGGGCCTCCTGCAGGCTGTTAAACCCTGTCTGGAAGGAGCTGTCCCGTGACACCATAAAGCCATTGGGTATCAAGGGGATCGATCACCTGTATGCTGATTTCATTCCCCAGGGAGTTACTTTCCCCTGGAACCGCAGGTCAGCTTCCCTTTGGCCCCTGCACAGATTCCCAGAGCTGTGGGCGGCTGCCCCTTCCTCAGCCAGCACCCCACTCCTCGGGCTGTTTCCCACACATCACCCCGTGGAAAGTCCACCTAACCCATCTCGGCAAAAGCCTCATGTTTATAGGAGAGAGAATCTGCCTTTGGTCCGTGGGGCCCAAGACAACTCTTCTTCGTCCAGAGTGGCCCAGAGACCCGAAAGGTGGGACGCCCCTGCGGGAAATCTGCTACTTAGATGATCACGTGCACCTCTTGGAGCCAGGATCGCCAGCCAGGCCTGACACACTGTTAGGTCCCCACTGTCCTCGAGCTTTCAGAAATCCTCCGTGGCCGCTCTGTGGCTGTCCTCTTCCTGGGACCCCCAGCCAGCACTCCTCAGAGGCACCCCCGTGTCTCCTGGTCACTCGGGACCCGTGCAGAGACACAGGCAGGAAGAGGCCCGGCCGCCTGCTCCCACCAAGCGTGTGGGTGACTCCATCCAGTGCCCACACTCCTCCTCCCTTCACTGCCAGCTTTTGCTTCTAGTCACAGGGGAGCTTGTCCCGTGGGCAGCTGCTCTCAGATCCCACTGAGCAAGCCAGTCACTCGGAGGGGTCCGTGGAAGAGGCGGTCTTTGCCTGGGGGAGGACAGAGCAGGGTCCCTGGGTAGGGCGCAGGAAAGCTGAGTTCAGCTCAAAGTTTCTTAAGAAGAAACTTTGTAGTCACTCAAGCTGACAGTCCAGATGAGGCCACCATTTGTGACCGTGTTCCCCGTCCTAGACGGGACTTCTCTGCCACACAGCAGGTGGGCGTCCCAGGTCCTTCCCCCTCAGGATCATCTGGGCGGGCTGGCTGACGGTGGCTCGTCTCTCTGACGTCTGACAGTGTCCCGTGGCTCCCAAATGTCACCTACGAGTTCTTTAAAAGCACAGTGACCCTCCCACAAGATCGGCCATCCTGCCAGTTGTAGAATTGGGCAGGAGCAAGTGGCCCAGCCTCGTGGCCATCGAGGGGCAGCGAGGGGTGGGAAGCCTAAAGCAGGGGGTGTTTCTCATCCAACAGGTAGTCACGCCGGTCTCGGAAGTCACGTATGTATGGAAGGGTCATAAATTACTAGAACTGGTTTTACCAACTTATTTATCTTAGAAATCCAATTTTTACTAGCATCCTAGCTTCTCCTGTGGACACCTAAATGCCTTTGTCCTTAGCACAACACATCTGATAAAGCCCTTTGCTGTTTCCGGTGATGACTTTCCTGGGGGCGGGGTCTGAGGAAAGCTTACCTCCCGCTAACCGCTCCCTGCAGCCACGGCTCCCCCTCCCTTTCCTGCACCCTGTTATTTTGCCCTCTCCTCTCCACTACCTGCCACCTCTTCTCAGGCTTCTCCGTGCCCCTTCACTGGCCACAGTGCAAAACAGCTTTTCCTCTGCCTCCACTTTATCTCTTCCGTGTACTGGATTGCCTCATTCCCTGCCCTGAATTTAAGCTGTTGTATGTTTTTCTCACAAACATCACCAAAGCTCCAAACAGAAGTTTGCTTTTTCGCTTTTACTTATTGGAAAAGGAAATTGTGCCCCTCCTGGCCTAAGCAAAGGCCATTTAACGCGGTCAGTTTTTCTCGTTCTCACGTTGACTTGCATTTCTCCCCATAGAAAAAGTGAATAGAGCGACACACCACGCTACAGAAAACGCTGTAAGGCCCCACCGCTAGGGGGAGTCAGCTCCGCTCCATGAAGGCATCTTGAGTGCCTCTGACCAGCGAGTGGAGAACCCAGACGAGCAAGGTCGCCTCCGCGCAGACACTGCCCTGCGCAGGGGCTCTCTGAGCTGTCCCTTTGCTTACTCGTCTGGTCCAGGGTTCTTCTGAGTTGTCCTTTTTAATTTCCTTGCACACGTATTGTATCATTTACTGATCCTCAAAGTGTTTAGCATTCAGCACTTTTTCCTTTGAAACAAATGACCTTATGGATGGATAAAAATTTGGAAACACAAGCTTAATTTGTTTTCATCAAGTCGTGTGGCAGTCAAAGATATCCAGATATTACTAGTACCTTTCTAAACCAAAGTCTTTTTTTTTAATATGGCCATTTTAGAGCTTAAATATTGGTTTTCTGATGTGGAAAAAGACACAAATGAAAGTGGTACAAAGAAAGAGGACCTACCTTAGACCTAATCATCTAACCTGAAGGCGCTGAGGTCAGGGTGGCAGGAGGGACCAAGGCTTGGCGGGGGCTGCACCCCCACATTGGGGACCGGGGCCTTAGTGACCGAAGCCCCAGACAGCAGCACATCAGAGAGCCACCAGCTTAGGCAGCAGGTTCTGGGTCCAAAAAGACCTGGGGGACTATGCACCAGGGAGCAACGTAAAGCCCTACCTTTATTTTTTAAAAAAACTATACAAGGTGGGGAAGATATAAGAGTTTCAGCTAAGCTCAGTGTGAACCAGGAGAGTGGAATGAACCAAAACAAAAGAAAACACAAAATATTTAGGCTCCATAAGGAGAAAGCAGCGGTGAGAGTCACGCCACATTGCTTACAACTGGGGGGAGCTGCGGAAGACGTTCAGGTGTGACGTTCAGGTGTGACGTTCAGGTGTGACGTTCAGGTGAACCCGGTCCTGATGAGGGTGCAGGCAGTTAGAAACAGGGCAAAGGACTCCGTGAGAATGTTTGGCCTGCAGAAGAAGAGACCTTGGGCTGGCTGTCCTAGAACCAGGAGCTAAGCTATGGGGAGGCAGATTTGAACACTTGCAGAAGAACCACCTTTCTACGAGTTAGAACATTCTGACAGTAGAGGCCTCTCTGGTGGGTGGCAACCGACCTGTCACTGAGGTCCCAGCAGAGGGTGAGGGGCCATTTGTCAGGGATGCTGGAGAGGGGTCCCGCAGCCAGCTGGGGCGGTGCGCCTTCGAAGTCTGGGTTATGGTGGCTCCGTAAGTAGAACAGCTTTCAGTGATTCGCCAGGTCCGCGGGGGCAAGTGCGGGCACACGTACCTCCTGCTTCTGTGCCTGCCCTTTGGAATCCAGGGTCGCACCCTGCCCCAGGCTACATGTGGCCATGAGAGAACCACTAGCAAATCGGTCAGAGCTGCCCTGACCAGTCCTTCTTTGTAGCTAACCCAGTGTCCCGAAGGCCGGTTCCTTGCCCAGGGCCACACACCTGGGTGGTGGCAGAGCTTCAAGTAGACGAGAAGCCTCTAATACCATCTCTCTTTCTCAGCTCACCTTGCTTTCCTGCTCCTTTGCTGGAGCAAAGTAACCCTCTCCTCCCTGAACCACCCCACAGTCCCGGCTCTATTCAGAGGGTTGCCGTGGAGACAGCCACACGCTAAGGAAAAGTGGCCATGGGGAGGTGGGGGACTTCCGGCCGACTCTCTCAGCCTCCTCCAGGCAGTGAGCACTGGTCGCGGTGACAGGAAGGCCAGTCTGTTGCAGACGCTGACCCCCACCTGCCCTGACTCCCAGAGCCCCACCGTTCAGCTTGACAGAAGGATATACTTTGTTATAACTTATTATTTGTCCTTTGTAAATACAAGATGTTTATAGGAAATTTGTATTCTGAACTCTTGGCAAAATGAGTCACTACACCAAAATAGTTCTATTATTTAGAGTATGTTAATTTTAAAGGGTTCTTATAGGTATTTATTTACATACGCAACCACATTCATGTAAAATCATTTGATCTTACTAACCCAGCCTCCCAGAAAGTTGCCACGCAATGTCTTATCCTAAGTCCATAGTTACAACTTAGTATACTGACTAGTCAGACTCCTTGGGTTTTAAGATCAAATATAAATTACTCTGCTTTTGACTTGCTCAGGGGCTTTTGCAAACCCTGGCATTACACCTGAAACAGGCCTGTCTAGAACGCCACCTTCCCATCTTACACAGTGTATTAGGTCACATAACCGGCCCTCTCTTCATCGTGACCCAAACACCTGGAGAAGGAGAGATGACGGTCGGCTCCGTCTCTTCTCTCTGTCTGGCCCCCTTCGGTAGGACCACCAGCACGAGGTTGCTGGAGGCTGGAGTAGTGCTGCGGACGAGGCCAAGTCCACTCCCGGGGCAGGTGGGGCTGCAGTGGGGGCTCTGGGTTGTCCTGTCGGCTAACTGCACGGTCAGGAGCAGGGAACCCACCGAGTACTCCAGCGACTCCGGGTCCCCCTGTGGTGCAGCCTTACTGTTTAAGGAGGTGGAGAGTGGGAGGAGAATCATATGAGTAAACAGTCTGCTTTTCTCTTCAGCAAAAATGACGACTATTTTTGTGTGTGACTAATTTATTTTTATTGTAAAAATATAATAAACTGATTAAAAGATCGGCTTTCTTACCACATTTGTGCTTTCTTGGGCCTT